GAGGGCTGCCGGGCTGCCAGAGGGATGTCTGATTGCCATCTTAGGCCCAATCCCCCAGGGAGCGGGCCTAAGCCAGCAGGTGGTCATCCCCTAGGGGTCCCAGACTGCAAGAGGGCACAGGCCGGGCTGAGGCACCCCCCCTCCACCCCGAGTGCACAAATTTTTGTGCACCGGGCCTCTAGTATATATATAATGTATCACATTGCCATGGCCTCATCATTTGTTACCTGCCTTCCTATTCAACTCCCCCTTCAGTATGTGCCCAAGCTGACACAAGGGACCAGTCCTAAAACACAAATGGGCAATGTCTACCTTCCCTGCCATTGGGAATGTATATCACTAGCTAGAATTATTTTGGATTAAAATACTTATCTTCCACCTCAGTTTTACTACCCCAAAACCCTATTTGTGTCCATGGTCTTTAATCAGTGGACTATTTTGTCGTGTAAGAACATGAAACTCATTTGGCCACAGGCATTTTCATGTTTACTGTGACTTGCTAGTGTGAGTTTTCAGTATGTATTAATTATACTTGCTATTTACATCAACTATAGGTTATATTTTTGAATTGGTCTATTGCTCTGTATTCTTTTTAAAGCTACCCCACCAGGAAAAAAAATATTTTATAGCCTGTGTCTTGGATTAAACACACACACACACACACACACACACATACACACACCCAAATGTGTATTTCCAATTACATTATGGCCCTTCATACCTTTTATTTTTAGTTTTATAGGATAATTGTGATTGTGTTCAAATGCAATCCCTTGTACCTTTTGCTCATTCTTAGGTAGTAGGATGCCCTATGGTATGTTTATTTATTTATTAAATGTCTTTATTGATTTCAGAGAGGAAGGGAGAGGGAGAGAGATAGAAACATCAATGATGAGAATCATTGATCGGCTGCCTCCTGCACGCCCTCTACTGGGGATCGAGCTCACAACCCAGGCATGTGCCCTTGACCGGAATCGAACCCGGAACCCTTCAGTCCCCAGGCTGATGTTCTATCCACTGAACCAAAACAGCTAGGGCTGGTATGTTTAATAGACTTGAAGAAATGTATGCTGTGGTGTGGTCACTGGAACTCAGCATGTTAGATTCTAATTTGTTCTTGCTTGTTAGCTCATTTGGTGAACTTGGGTCATTTGCTATTGCATGGACTTGGTTTGCTGTTCTGGAAAAAATACTTCCTTTCTAATGATGGATCTGTTCAAGCATACACAGCAAAAAGTCATAACAGTCCATTATCTAATACACTGCCCTATGGAAGAGTAATTTGGTTTTATTAAAAGAGGTTTAATTACTTAAGCCAAGGTGCACCATAAACTATTTCCCAGTAACTACTACACTTCAACACTACGGCAATTTTCTAAAACATCTGTTTTTGGTGCCAGTTGTTTTAAAGAGGTCTTTTTAAATGCTCCATTGACCCTTTTCTATCCAGACACTGGGTTCCTGGTCTGCCATATTTGGTGTTTTTGCATGTAGGTATCCTTTCTTCAGGTCATTGTATTTTACCCTAGAAAGAGTTTAAAGGGAACTTAACCTAGTCCCATCCATCCCATTCTACAGATGAGAAACCAATGGTGACTAGAACATCCAAAACACAGCCCTGGGCTCCACACTCACCATGTGTTCTTTATAGGAGGGTGAATAGTCTGAAATTTTCATTTATCAGCCCAAATGGTCAAATATTGGCCATTTAGCAGTCTAACATGCTACTACATCGTTGCTAATGATATCATCATATTTCTGCTCAACTAAATGAAGGAAACTGAACTTACAAGATCTTATAGTTGGGAACTTAAATTAAGAGGGATGGATAAGTGTGGTACAGAGATATGTTCTTTTGGGGCCGTACTTTTTTTTATTGCCAGCATTTAAAAACCAAGAATTAAGTGTAAACATCCAGATTCCTAGTTTATCTGAAAATACACAAAAACTATCCTGAATGCCAGCATGGCAATAATTTTACTATTACGAACAGCCCCTCCCCACAATTTACCAGTCACTACTGCTCCCTAAGGCTTCCCACCCAAGCTGTGCTACTCATTTACATTTCTTGCCTCACCTCTGTAGGCCGGTGTCACTATCTCTATTTAAGATCAGAACCTGTTATTGTGCCGATAAGGAAACAGGCGTCTTATATAGAGAGTAATTTTGGAACAAAATATGATTTACCTAAAGGCTTCTTCTGGAGAAATGACCCATATTTAAAGTTATGTTTTAAGTGGCTTTTAAACAAAATTAACCAATTGTTATTTCTTTGATAGGTGATCCAAATCCAGAACATTTTAACAGAAGAACCCAAAGTCACAGTGGTTTATGCAGAAAATGGTACAGTGTTGCAAGGAAGTACAGTGGCCTCTGTGTACAAGGGGAAATTGCTGATTGGCACCGTATTCCACAAAGCTCTTTGCTGCAAGCTCTAACAGGCCGAAATGCACCCACACCATGGGAACTGTGAGCCCATCATTTCAACGGCTTGCCACCTCGAAGGGACCACAGTGATCTCATTAAACAATGAACGTTGACCCTAAATTAGGCCATAGTTAGGGATGAAAATGCTGTTTTACTTAGAACAAAGATGATTGTAAGGGTTTTTGACAGTACAAAATCAAATTGGTCTTGGGATACTTGTTTACCAGTAAAAATCCTTTACAATAAAATGGCTGAAATTTTGGTCATGTAACAGTATGTGACCCAAAAGGGTACTTTCCCTACGACATATGTTTTCTGAGTGCATGTGACTTATTGCTGCCTTGCTGAGTCTTGTTCAGAAAACAGGAGAGCAGGATGGCTTTACGGGTCATCAGAAATCCAGAAGCCACCCAGGGACTCCAGTTCACATGCCGGGAACGGGACGTGCACTAAAAATGACCCTTCAACTCTAGGCACTTCTCCTTAAGCAAAGCCATTAGACATATTGCACATCAGACTTACGTTTCCCCCTTTACGTATGACTTTCTCGGTAAATGTAAACTCAAATGCTTCAACTTTCCTTCTACTCTTGCTTATTCAATTCTCCTCTAGCAAAAGGCATGCAGGAAAATCTTAAAATTCTTGGGAGTGTTGTCACACTTGAAAATTACCTGAGTCTCTGTTATCTCAGCACACATAGTACATTTTAGTTTCTTTTACCTGGTAAAAGGAAGAAGTTTGTTCACATCAGTGATTGGATACAGAACGAAACCCATAACTGATTCGGGTAAAGCTAAGTGTCCCCCCAAGAGAAGTTATTAAGGTGGCGGTCGTTCTTTTTCTAGTCTAGCTTGCCACAGAGGCTAAGAAGAAGACAATAGAAAAGTAAACAAAAGAAGAAATGATCAACAACCTCTCACTATCTTCTGAGGGACATACTCAGAAAAAAGATGACTATTATTTTCTTATGAAAGCCGAGGAAAAGGTTACCTGTCCTCCTTTATTTGTCTGTTCTAAGGTATGGCTTCCAGGATGAATTGTTTCTTCGCGACCTTAAGGCAGTCATGTTAGAAAGTGTCTCTAGGGCATTTGCCATGATGATGGTCTGGTATTTGGAGAGAGATGTTTTGCTGATAAATTGAGAACTGCTCCTGGTTTAAGACCACTGACTTAAAGTAATAAACAGGGACATTTTGTTTAGATCGAAAAACACTTTCCTCACATCAGGATAAAAGTTATTTTTAGTCGTTTCCATGGGCATGACGCCATGTGCCCTATGAGAGCTGGTTTGTGATGCTGTTCACAGCCCTCGAAGCTGGAATATTGTTTGGAAACGATCAATAGCTGTGGTGATTAGTTTGAAAAAAGCTACATATTTCCTTTATTTAAAAAAATAATTTTATTGATTCCAGAGAGGAAGGGATAGAAACATCAATGATGAGAATCATTGATTGGCTGCCTCCTGCACGCCCCCTGCTGGGGATCAAGCACACAACCTGGGCATGTGCCCTAAGAATCAAACTGTGACCACCTGGTTCACAGGTTGGCTCTCAACCACTGACCCGTGCTGGCTGGGCAACCACATATTTCCTTTAAAGAGAATCACTTGATATCAATAAAATGACCACAGTCTGTTCTCTCTTGTTTCTAACAAAATAAGCAAATTCTGTCCCCTGGCTACCCACCTCACCCAAGAGAAAGCTATCCACCAACTGAACATAGCTTACATGAAAGATCATTCAAAAAGGGACACAAGCGTCCCCTTGGTTTGGAATTTCTTAACATGCTCCAGGGTAAACAGTTGAGTTCACTTATTCTGTTGCTTTCATCTAAATTTTTTGCACTGCCAAAGGTTTAGTCACAGATAAATTAGGGAGTGCATGTATGTGTGACAGAGAGAAATTAATACCCTTCATTTGATATATTCGTCTTCTCACCACTTAAAGCTTTAGAAGTAAAATTGTTGAAAGAAGCCCCATACTCTGGGATGGTCTGATTCTTAGCTCTCCACAACACGCTCTGTAACTGTGTGAGGCCAACTGGTTACAGATTTGTCAACGACCTTTACCTGGCTGACAGGTTTTAGAAACTGTGATGGTGAAGCCACAGTGGAAACCAAGAGATGGGCGAGGGAACTTCTAGTGGAAGCTTTGATCTTTAACTTTATGCCCAGCTCCATAATTGTGCTTTCAACATAATTCCTGCAGTCCATTTACACTTCAGCAGGGCTAAAACGTATTTTTAGCTTCATTTCCATGGAAATGTGCACTTTGCCCTTGATTGATAGATGCATTTTGACAGTTAATACAGGTTTATCCAGTCAAGGTGAAAATGGGAGAGGAAAAACAATGACATCAACAGATCTCAGTATTACTCTTTTTTATTGCATTCGTTGTCTAACAACAATAATACTCATTGGCAAGAAATTTATTTACACTAACAAATTAAACTTAATCACATGTATTTTTAGATTGATCAGAAAACAAAGGATATCTTGCTTCGAATGCCTCTGAAAACCAAAGAGTAAGAAATGTCATTGGAAATGGAACAATCTAGAGAAATACATAATAACCAAGCACAGAGAACAATTCAGACGTGGCACTATTGTCTCTTCCATGCAAATGATTGGACACCGAAAGGTACAAATCAAGGTTCAGATAACATGCTATCCATATTTATTGGACTTAAAATGACTTCCAAACAACTTTTTTCCTTTATATAAAGAAAGATTAAAATAAACCAACTTTTTACAATGGGACAGAATTCATTCTCTCTCTTTTTTTATATTTCAGCCGGCCAGTTTGTTAGTCATATGCAGCACGTGTACTTGTGGTTCCATTGTAACACCATTAAAAAATACAAAAGCAGTAGTGATGACCATAAATAATACTAAGGAAAACATACACATAAATATTTAAGAGATTTCACTAAGCACTAACGAAGTCTGATGTTGTTGGGAGGCGTTTTCTAGCTGGAGTGCTTCCTAATTCACACTTTTTAATGTAATTTAACTATCCTTGGCCAATTGTTCTTTCACAGACGAAAGATGAAATCCTTAACAGAGAACCTGGGTGTGTCCATAAAACAGCCAGAGAACTAGAAGTATACACCTTCCAACAACATACTCACACTCATGTCCATTTGGCAATGACCCAACCAGGCCATCACTCAGCAAAAGAGGAAGTAATGGTCATGGGATGACAACGCTGCCATCAGAGAGCCAGTAGTTAGTGGCTTATGCATCACAGCGACCAAAAATGTCATATTAGAGCATGAGCAAGTGCACAAGAACACGCAGTGCGATTTTTAGCAAAGGACACTGCGGTTCGCAGTTGAAAATGCCTGAAGCTGCATAAACTTCTGAGTTTCAGCTCAGCGATGTGCAATCTCGACATCAAAGCGTTAACCAAACATTTGAGGAAACTTTATCTTACTAAAATACCAAGTTTCTAATAAATCAATTTTACCAAAATATATAGACATATAGAAGGATTAAGTGCATTTAGTAGAAGAAATACATTAAAAAAATCTCTTAAAATCTTATGAGCCATTCAATGTATACACAACACAAAAAGTGGCAATAAGGCTATGATTACTGCTGGGGGTGCTCACTGACAACACCAAGTTCCAAAGACAGGATCTATTTGTTGAATGCCATGTCATTGCGGTGTGTGTGTGCAAGGTGAGAGATATATTCACACATATGTAGTCTGTATAGCTACACAAGTGGCATGCACAGTGTCGAGAAGTTGCCTCTTGTTCCCTTATCCCTTGCCTCTTATTCATTCTTGAATCTTTAGCGCTAAAGACTGGCGTAGGGCCAAGGATGGGAAATCAGCATGTTCTTGCCTTCCCCACTCTGTAGATTTGGAAGTGGGTCACGTGCTGTACTTGGTCCACACACATATGTACGTGAGCCTTCAAGTAACAATCATTCCCTCAACGCATCGTGTAAGGCTCCTCTGTTCACCCTTGGGGAGAACTTAAGGCTTTCGTTTCCCAGGGGGACATGGATCCTTTAGGCTTCTTCTTTGCCCTCTGACTTCTTGGTTGGGTCTGTTCTATACTCCTACTTTTTTGTTATGCAAATACGACTGGTGTACTACTGGTGTTATTTTTTCCCCCAGTGTTTTGGACCAAGATTCAGTTTCCTGAGACTTTAAATAACTAAGAAAAACATAAATAAAATCTGCCTGCAGATTATGGTTGTTTTTCAGGAGTGAATTGCAGCAACCACATTCATATTTCTTACAACCCTGTTTTCTTTAGAAATTTACTTTTCACCCCATCATCATAATAAAAACAATTCTGGTAGAAAATATGGACATTTTACTTCCCTCATCCTTCAAGGCTTAGCTTCAGAATCGTTTACAGGTAGATCCTTGATTAAAGTACATTTGAACATTCAGAAGCCACTCAGGACTCAAGTAGGTGACATGAACCCTGGTGCTGCTGTCTCTCAAAGGGAAGTGCCCCTCATCTGCAGCTCTTGGGACAGTACCTTCAGTTACTCCGATGGGCTTTAGTAATACTTAAATACCTCAGTGTAACGAGGGGGCTACCACACATTCAAAGTGTAGTTGCTTCTTTAAAATTGTTAAGACACCTCCCTTTAGAATCTTCTTAAATCCCATTGTTAAACGCATGGTTTTCTCTCTTTAGGCTTGGTCTACATAACCTTTAACACTTTATAAATAAATCAGAATATCCATATAAATGCAAAATTTACCTTTTAAAATGTATTTGAAAGCACATGTTAATCCAATGGCACAAAGAACCTAGATGAGAATTATTTGTCTTCAGCAAAAACCATAGGGCTAATTAAAGTCAAACAATCTGTGATTATATTTGAAGCTTGGGCCTCGGACATTTTAAGATTTCAGACTAGAGATGAAAGAGAATAACAGGCAGTGGCAAGGGTTAATTTGGTTCCTCACTCTTCCTCTTGCCACTTTGTTTCCAACGATAACAGGAGCACCAGGTAGGTGTTCCCATTGCCTCCCTCTTAAAAGCTGAGGTTGGCATTAGCGCTGGAGTTAAAAATGCTTATGTGACGTTAAGGGTAGGAAATTCATCAAGCCCCAGCTAAAGAATGAAAGCATAGAATAGCTTTATTGTCAAAAAACTAGAGGAGGACTTCATCAGTCTGCTAGAAGGGGCAAAGTTGGTTTCTGACCTAACATCACTCTGAAGTTAACTTCTAATTCAGGAAGAAAGAGAGGGAGAGAGAGAGAGAATATGAATGAGAATGAGAAAACTGTTACATGAACTGTGAGTTACTCTAAGGGAGACAGTCTTAAAGAAAGTAATTCTGTTACAAAACTAAAGTCCTTCAATGGAAAAGCCTGACCCAGAACACTCCTCACCACACACCACCTGCCCTCCCCAAAGCATTACCTATACCCCCAACACTTTTGGCTATTGTCAGAGTCAAATAGAGCTGTCGTTTAGAGAATATAACCAGATATTCCCTTTTTGTTCATTTTCTGATAAAGAAAAAACTGCAAAGTCTTAAAGGTTCATGAAGCAACAATTCTGTGTTAAATTGCATGGACACTGAAAACCACTAGCATTAGAGCAGGAATGTGTACGGCACTGGCACCTCACTTAGGCATCATGCACTAGAGTTGATAAAAAAAAAAAAAGTACGAAAACAAAATGCTCCCAAGTCTTGAGGCCCTTCACTGTTTTCATGACCTTTCACCAGTCAGTTACATTTTATCCTTTTCTGGACAATCAAATCAAGTGCCTCTTATAATTTCAGCAGTTTTAAGTAGTAATGTTAAAAATAACTCATTCAGATGAAAATTACTATAATTTAAGTTAAAAAATCAAAATAGTTATAACACAAATGAAATGATTTGAAAAAAAGAATGTGATTAATAATATTGTCAGTTGGTCATTAATCTAAACATCGGAAGTATACAGATAAACTGAAAACTAAGAACAATATTTGAAGACTTTTAAGAAAATGCAATATAATAGATCATAAATTATGTGCAGAGACTGAGACTTACAGACATTTCCAGTATTTACATCCATTTTCAAATATTACCAAAGTGTAAACATAAGATAATCATCCTTCCATTTTCATTCTTAAAATGAATACAGTGAAATTTCCAGTGTGATCTAGATCACTTTTTTTCAAAGATATGCAAAGATGGCAAAAATGTACAATAGCAAGCACTAGTATTACCACATTTTGACTAATTTAGTCTTTTAGTATTAGAAAAGGTTTGCTGGAATTGGTAGTTCAGTAATAGTGGTTCCTTGTTTCTCATGGTATTAATAAATAGCAAAGCACCACACATCTCAAAATATAAATAGAATATCCAGTATGGCAGCTTCATTATCATACCCCAAAATGAAGACAGACAGAGAAAATATACATAGTGACGGGTAACTGTAAAACATAGCGAGTAATCTATACCTAGTGACAGAAGCACTGAAGCCAAACAGGCAATACTCTGCCACTAAAAAGGAGGCAGGCCTTCAGGAAAGAACTGAATTGTGAATTTCTAGTTTAGATTATTCCAGATTTCCCATATTCAGACAAGCAAAAAACAAAAACAAGCAAAACACAATGTTCAAAATAAGAGATGGAGCTATATGGGCTGGAGCCCTTTACATGATCTGTTACCTGTAACCTCAAAAAGCGCCCCTAAGCTCTGTGTATGTAACATTTCCAGTGCAAGATATGGACTGAGACTCTCCACCCAGAAAAGGAAGTAAAATACTTGTCAAAGAATTTGTCTGCCCTCAACTCTTATTCTGGAACCTGTCCCATGGAAAGTGGGTGACCTCATTTTTAGGGCCAATGCAGCAAACAGAACCAGATACATAATCATAAGGAGCAAAACAACAACATCAACAAAAAGATCCATTATTTGAAATTTCTCAAGATGAGTTATAGTTTCTCCTCCTTCTGCCTTAGTCCCTGGCATTTGAGTTAGTTTGACGAAATGTTGAAATCCTTAATACTGGCTTTAAAATATGAGCTCCACTGCTAGACTGTATTCTGGGTACTATCTTAAATAAACTTTAACTTTAAATGAAGATCCCTAAAGAATGGGAGAGAATGTCTCAGAAAAACCATTCAGAGCATCTCTAAACATAACTGACAGCTCACCTTTATGGGGACATTCTGTGTGCTCAAATTGCTTCTCTAGTTGCATGTTACTCAAATCTAAGTTTTCTCGAACTGGTATTTCTATTGTTTTTAAAAGTACATTTGTTAAAATACTAGCCGAGTCCACTTGGGAAATCTTGAGTTGAAAATATGTGACGAGTTCCCGACTGTGTCATCATCGGGCTGCAGACTAGCCAGAATGTTCCCCGGGAGAGGAAACCTGAAAATGTTGGTTTCCTTAAAAACCAATTTCCTGTTCAATTTGTTGGGGAAAAGGAATTTTGTCGTGTGTGTCAGTGTTGCTGACAAACTGAGATGCTGCAGTAGCAAAGTAAACAACAGATCCCAATATCCCATGGCTGCATTCATGTCAGATTTTTCCTTTGTTTGGCTAAATCTGGAAGATAAATATTATCCTCAGAATCCCAAGGTAATACCACATCCACATTCTTAAGGCTTTTGCTTCCTTCTGGGGTGAACACATACTAGAATTCTTTTCTCTCCTTCAGATGCCCAGCAAGCAGAACAGTTTGCTCAACTTCTGCCATGGGAAGTGATTCTGGGGCAGAGCACCCACGTTTCCACAGTGGGGTTGTCTCACTGTCCAGACACAGAAATAAGGGGGACCTTTCTCACACTTTGGAGTGGATCCTGCAGCCGAGATCTCATGGCAGGAGGGCGCTCAAGCCATGCAGACAGACACAAACACCCAGGGTCAGGACCCCATGCTGGACATCCATGGCACTCCATTTCACAACACCAGGGTGGGTCATGCTCTTGTCGGGCACTGTCATGCTGGTTTTCCAAGTGACACACGCACCCACCCAACACAACACAAGATGTTGGTAAGTCAGAGAAGAGGGAAACATTTGCAGCTCTCACAAATGAGCTCCTTGGTTTGTTAAGAAACTAAAGGTGGCTTAGGATTATTTAAGTAGGTTAAAATGAAAGGAATTCTATTATCACAGAAAATGCAGGTATTCGACACCAGGTTCCCCAATCTGCCTACAGCACATTACCCCCGTCATCAGTTTCTTCTTCATTCCCCCGGAGGAGAGCGGGGCAGGAAGATGTGGGCCCTCCCTTGGGGCACCCTCTTCGCCTGGAAGAGGGTGTGTTACTGCTCCCCAGCCCCCTCTATTGCCATCTTTTCTGTCTTTCTAGATTTCCTCTGCATCTGCTCTTGTTCCTTCCTCCTCAGTTTTTCTCTCTGCTTTTCCATTTTCTCTTGAGCCTTCCGAGCCTTCTCTAGGGACACCTTCATTTCCTTGAGCTTTTTTTTGACCACTGCTCGGTCCTGCGATGATGCCATTCCAAGAGCCTTAAGAAGGAAATAGAAACAAACTGAATCTGGAAACCAGTGATTTCTCTGCTTATGATGAGGCCGATATCGCAATATGTTGTAACTCAAAAATTAATTTAAACACAATTGAGGTAAAAACTAAAGAAGAGCTGATTACATTTGCCAAAAATGTACAAGCTTTATTTGTTCTTTTGTTCTTTGAAGTCCCTAGCACAGTATGCCCCAAACCTTGCTAAGGAATGCTTTCCAGATTGGTAATTAATGGGTGAATGAATGAAAAAAGGTCACAATTCTGCTTCTCCAACCTTTAGGTTGTAGACATTTACAGGCAAAAGATAGGAGTGGGCCCCTGCTGCCACAGAGGGCTCCCGGAAGGGCAGGAAGAATCGACATGGCTTCCTTTCTGCCAATGTATTCATTGACAGTGAGGACCCAAAGTGTATTTAGCACCAGAATGCTCATGTCAGCAGACTAGCCATTCGCTCCCTGTAGGCAGACCTATAAAGGAAGCCTGATTATAACAAGAAGGTTGCTCAATTAGCTTGGAATTCAGAATACAGGGAGTTGGTTGCATAGTACTTTAAATGCTTCATGACCTTCAGCATCAACAGCGGGATGCATCCATCTCCCCAAGGGGACAGCCTTGTCAATGGACTTTCATATTTACAGGCTATTCATTGATCTCTAACCTTTTCAAGATTGTCACAAAATACTCATCTGCCCGTCCTCCCAGCAGGGGCTGAGGTCAGGGGTGGCAAGCTGGCTATAAGCTCCTTTTGCCCTTTCTCCGCAGGGATGGGCGCCACCTCAGCCTCTAAAGAGATGGACTGAACAGGTGAACATGAGAGAGCAATGGAGCGGGAGGGAAGACACTGCCGCACATATTTGGGGAAGAAAGTTCTGGGGAAAACATCATCCCGGTTTTGGAGTGGTCCCTGGTGTGCAGGGACGAGTCGGGATGGAGAGGAGACACGAATAAAGAAGGGGAGGTTCATGGATTTGGGTTTTAACTCTTATGTGATGAAGGAGTCCACATCGGCCATTATTAAAACTCATACTACATAGAAGTAAGTAGAGTTAATACATGGGCCATGTGTTGCTAGGTGGAAGCAATGGAGTGAGTCCCTCCCTCTCCTACTCAGCAGCCTACTCTTTAGATCCCCTAATGACTTTCTGAACCTGCATTTACTACTCAAACAATCCACCGTCCTTACTGCTGACGGTTGATGAGAATTACCTCTCCCATATGGAGAATGCTCTTATTTTAATGAAAACATTTTAGGTGCTATGAGCAATACAAATTATGCTTGGTAACCTAACACAGACATATATAATTCTTTACCTTCAGTTTATTTCCATCCAACTGCAGGAGTTGCTCTCCAGTGATGTTTTGGGCACTGAATTCAGATACATACTGCTCCAGATTTAGGCTCATGAGCCAGTGAGAAACCTGCTGCACACTCCACTCCTGAACGGCCCGATTCTGACACTGACTGTGCTTGGGAGACTGTCCGTCATCAAGGATCTGAGGTAGGAATGTCACGCAGTGTTGTTAAAGGGCTGAAGTGCTATGGCTCAGCATGGCATATTGCGCTATCCAAAGGAATTTCTTGCCTACTAGAGCCATATTTATTTTTAAACCATAGAATGATAAGCTAATGGTTCTAGTTGTGTATGTAACACACATACATGTTTATTACCTACATGTTTTTAGATGCTTGGAAACCTAGAAACTCCCCTAAATAAAACAGCATTTTCAAGGAAGTTTAATATTGACAAATCCACTCTAATGTTGCAAGCTTTTACATGAAAACACTTTGGAAAGATTATCAGATGCAGAAAACAAATATGCCATTTAATCCCTATAGACAATACATCACTCTGCATTTCTCCTCTGCTAAGACATTAGAGATATGTAAAAACACATTTAAAAGTATTGTGGTATCTTTCACTTAGAAGAGGAGAGCAATGAACCCTCAGGTATTTTTAGGGGGAAATTTCACCGCCATTATTTCACTTGCACAGCAAGCAAACCATGAGGGCAGTGGGGCAGGAGGTATCCATAATTACTTTTAATAAATGAGGAAACTGAGGTTCTGAACATCTACAGATCTGTCCAATGCAGAATATTACTTTTAATGGTGCAAAGGGCAGGTTGGTTCCTAGAACCACTACGCTGAGAGGCGATGAGGCGATGATGGGTCTGGGAGGAGAGACAGAAGCCACCTCAGTGACGGGCAGAGAGAACAGAAAAGGGGATGATGGGTAAGCCGAGATGAAGGCAAAGGAGGCGAAACAGAGGGAACTGGGTCAGTCAGGTAATGGTGATGGGGACACATCACGGGACTCTGGAGGTGGGATCTGGAGGTCCTCTTGAACTAGGAATATCTTTTAAACTGAGACATAGACAAGGGCAGAGTGAAACTACGTTAACACAAGGAACACCCCCAATGCAGAGGAAAGCGCTCTTGTATTGTTTGAGTTTTCAATCATCTGCAAAGAGAGAAAAGGTTCAAACAAAATACCAAAAACCACCACACAGCCCATTGATAGCTCACCTCGTCATCTATCATATCCAGGCTCTGAGTGAGGGAGCAACAAAGGAATCAAAGAGAAAAGTGTTACAGAAACAGGACACACAATATATACAGTACAGTCTTATAACATTAAAGTCACGCCAAGCCTGAAGAATATGGGCAAAAGAGTTTAAGAGAAAAAAATGTTTTACAAAACAAAACAACATGTTAGAAAGAAATAACTAAGAACACATATTTAGAGCAAAACTATCTTTACTTACGATGCCTCCCTCCCTCCCTCCCTTCCACTCCAATACTGGTATTTCTTTCCTTATCTCTTGGGGCATTAAGTCCATCACTAGTGTAATTTCCTGCCTCTCTTGCATATATTTATCTCCTGAGAATTCTTAGGAATGCTATTTTGACCCTCGCATCTAAATTCGTGGTCTGACACAGTTGTTCTTCCTTCTCAGAATTGTATCTCTCCCCTTTTCACTGCAGTGAATCTTAATCAGGAGCCACACCCAACTCAGAAGAAATATCAGATTTTTCGGGTGGGGGTGACGGTGGGAAAGGTGAGGGAGAAAGCAATGGTGAATTTGTGAACTCCGTGAGATTTCTGAGCTGTTTCCTACTTTTGCTCTCCAGTGCCCAGTCTCCCGCCCCCACACCTTTGCTAAGAGTCATGGCTCTGGAATCAGAGCCATGAACAGTAAGTGTACAGTAAGGGATGGCTCCAAGGGCCTCTGAAACAACAATTTGCTTTCATGTTGAGACAGAGAGGGAGACACCAATTTCCTAGCAAAGATCATGGCTCCAATTATCCACATGCAAAATCTACCTTAGACACATTTCCCTGTGACAGTTCACGGGTAGAACATATGTCGGGGCTAGCAGTTCTATGAGGGACATGAGCATACCTCATCTGATGACAGCGCTAGGGATTGAGAGAGCCCCGGGGTTCTGGGCTCCGCTCCTAGGCCGCTCAGGTCTGCCGAGCTGGTACTACTGGGACTGAAGTCATCGTTGAAGGTAAAATTCTGTAACAATAAACGAAGCTCAGGGTTAAAAGAGCACCGTGAAGGAACCCAAGGTAGGTGTGCTTGCAAGTTCTAAAAAGGTTATTTTGAAGTAATCTTATTAGTTCACTTTGGGGTTGGTGATGACCTTCGACCAGGCAGTGTCGGACACTGCACCTGCGGTGAATGGGGGATTCTGAGCGCTTCTCCGCCGGGTGAAAGGATAGGTGTTTTGGAGTAATGATTCTGCAGTCTCTTCAAGGGTGCAGCATTCATTATCCTCCGCAACTGCTCAGAGGAGTGATATTAATGAGCCTATCTTCTTTGACCCTAATGGTGATGAGCAACAGTGTAAGTAAAAAATGCAAGGTGGTGTGGAGAGCCTGAGCTATTAGGAACAGATGGCAACCCATATTAGAAAGGTAGCCGAGCACCCCCAGAAGGCCCGCTGCTGCTGCGATAAACACTGTGAGGAATGGCAGGTCCGCTCGGGGGTGTGACCTTCAAAGATGGTGGGTTCTGGGGGAGGTCACAACCTGACTGCACTGCCTGCGCCAGTACAACGCTCACGTGGCACCAGCAAAGCCCAAAGAGGCTGCACTACGAGCAGACACACGTTCCCAAATAGTTACCTGGGGGTAGAAAGAAAGCTTCCCCAGAACCTCATTAAAATGTTCAGTGGATATTAAAGTCAAATACGTTCACAGTGACTTCAGAGCTGCCTCGGTGAAAACATTTTAAACCAAATCTGGAGTCTCTCCAGTGTAAGATAATGGTAGAATTATTCAAACAACATTGAGATATATCAGATCCAATGCTGAAAATGTTTCAAGGCCCAAGTGGTCTACTGCTGTCAAAACTTCTTTTCTAATTGCTTCCCAGGGACTCTCAAGAACTTGGCCAACCCCATCTTGTTTCCTATTCCACTGCCTTAGAAATTGGACTGTCAGTTTTCCATTAGGTTCTCTTGTACTGGCTTAGCTGGCTGTCAAGAATAAATGCCATGCCAGAGGCTGGAGAGCTCAGTACCAAACAGACTGCAGGGTTTGCTGAATGTTCAGAGAAGACTGAATCAGAGCACGGAGCTGGGCTAGTAGAGCGTTTAAGCAGGAGGCATTCAACACAGCACATTACCATTTGGTACTGTCAGTGGAAATACAACCCCAAAGCCCATCAAAACCCTGTGAGTTGTTGACCACAAGAAAAGAATTAAATTCAAGTAACTTTAACCACATGTTTCTGTTTGAGAAAGAAAAGTGAACACAGATAAAAGGAGGCCACACAACATGTGAAAGTTAGCCACCGCATGTGTTTCAATAACATGTTAGGTAAGGTTTGCAGTGTCATGCTGGAAATAACCATCATGCATTTAAAAACAAGCAGCATCCATGCACATACTTCCTAATTCTGCTAAAGTTAAAGAACTTTCGTGATAGAATTACAACAGCTGTTCAACATGGAAGCTTGATTTAAGAGAAGAAATAAGTAAGGGTGCTATGTCAGCATTGGTTTGTTTTAAAGAGCTTCATTTAGATGTATTGAACACATATCCAGTCCCAAATTTATCTGTTTTCCAGTAAATCTTGACGAGCGCAGCAAAAATAGTTTGGTAATGTAATTTAAACTGGAATGCTTGGTAAACAGATCTATCACACTGTGCCGTGATTCAAATGCATCTTTCCCAGCATGGTTTCACTGTCAAACGGAGATTAAATAGCAATATGTGAAAAGACAGGCAAATCGAAGATTAACGCACAATCTAGCAGGGACCAGTATTAAAGAAGGTGATGGTTAAAGGGGCTTTCTGTTCCCCACACGGGAAGTACCATGCACTGTTTATTGCAGTGTTATCACATTGGTTTCTTGGATCCAGAGCACACACACAAGTTGAGAATGCTTCCCAAAGATTGAAGAGGAGGAAGAGATTTGGGGTTTTCTTGTTTGCTTTTTTAATCCAAGTGGTTTCTACCTTGGACCCCTTTTTATCTGAAATTAGAGTTTCAGGAGAAGGCTGGAGGGGACTTGGAGGTGAAGGCAGGTTCCTGAAGGAATAGGATCCTTTCCGGCTTTCGTGAAACCAGGAGAAAGGCATGCAAGGTGAGCGAGGGGAGGCCGGCGCTGCGGAGGAGGGCTTCGCTTTCCAGTGGTCCAGCCTGCCTCTGAAGATCCTGTTTCATGAAAAGAATGGGGGTGTTAGACAAAGAAAGGGCAGACGTGAAACTGACAGAAATGAACTCTGAAGGGGCTCCCAACACAGTTCGAAGTAACAAGTTGAGAAATTGTCCTGCACAACAGATACTTTTTTTCTTTCACTTTTGACTGGAACATTAATCCTAATCGTTATGGGTTGTTTTTTGTTGTTGTTTTTTGTGTGTCTAAATGGATTCTGTAATGACAGACGTTTTGTACTGCTATGTCCGTGATAAATTTTTATGAAATATGCCTAATAAATACAGGGATGGGCAAAAAGTTAGGTCTGCAGTTATTTGTATGGAAAATAACACAACAATTAATACATAGTAATGCAAGAATAAACCCTGTGTTTCACGTACTCACAACCGTACACTTACTTTTGCCAATGCCTGTGTATGTGGATGAATTACCATCCGGGAGGAGCATGTCGTTCAGGAGCTGCTCTGAGGTTAGTCATCACAGCACCCCCTAGTTGGAGACACACATCAGTGCCTCACTGCTGGTGACTTTAGCTACTGATGAGCATTCTTTCCTGGCCTCCTCTCAACTCAGATTCCCAAGGGTCTCAACTTTAGAAAATGATGTACTTAAATAACTTGGAAATTTCAGGGCTCAGGATACTTTAAGCAGAACATACACTTGGTTGGTTTTTCATCATAATCTTAGTGCCTTTTCATAGAAGGAGCACCAGACCTGAAGTCTTAATACTCTGCTTGGAGGTCAGGGTCTGCCACCTCCTGAACACAGGACCATGGGCCTTTGCTCAGCCTCTATTCCCTTATCTATAAAAGGGGGATGTTTTATGTATATCATATGTGGTTAAGAATTAAATGAGACGGTATGTGTAAAAAGTGCTTTGAAAACTATAATGATCTATGCTTACTGCTTAACATTCAAAGGCAGTTTGAAAACATGTTTTTCTTAATATCTTGCATTAGAGAAAAATAATTCTTAGAGAAAAATAATTCTTAGGAACTGAGGCAGGAATGGGCAGTAGTATCTGCATCTTGGAAGAGGTCACCCTCAAAATGTCCAAATGATACTTGATGCAGTGCCTACAATTTGTTAGCAGTTGGTGTCATGACAACAAAGAGATTCACTTTCATTTAAAAGTGACTCAACACCTTAGCTAGATAGCTAATGTCTGACATGGATACTGAATTTCAATCTTCTCACATCTCATTTCAAATATTTTGAAATATTACATGTTTCAAATTTACCTAAATAGTATAACTCCTAACAATTCCTGTTCATTTCCAAAGATTATTGTGAGAAGCAAATGGGACAATAAATGCAAAACCATCTTATAAACTGTAAAGCAATGTATACATGTAAAGGGATTGTAAGAATGATAATTAAAGAGAATGAAAAATCAGTGAAGTTTTGGAAGAATACTGACATCATAGGTTGGGGGTGAAAAACTGTTGGCCACACTAAAGATTCCAGAAAAGGGGATGATTTAAATGGTGTATTTCTTTTTCTTTTCTTTTTCTTAGTGAATGGGAGCCATTCAATTTTTGTTTTATTGATTTTTAGAGAGAGTGGGAGGGAAAGAGGAGAGAGAAACATTGATGTGACAGCAAAACATCGACTGGCTGCCTCCTGCATGCCCCCTACCAGGGATGGAGACCAAAACCTGGAATGTGCTCTGACCAGGACTTGAACTGGCAACCTTTCAGTGCATGGGACGATGCCCAACCAACTGAGCCACACCGGCCAGGGCTAAATGGTGTTTTTCTTAAAATGACAACAACAACAACAACAACAACAACAATAAAACCACAAAGGAATCTGCAAGGATAACAGAAAGACCGACCAGAGAGGGGCCAACCTTCAATTTCATCTTAAAGTTTTAAAAAAATGTTGTATCCTTAAACCCACCTACTTCTTATGAAACGATGGAGGAGAGGAGTACAATAACTGAACTGAACGCATGTAAGCAGAGGCAGATTGGTCTTCTGTGGAAGTGCTTTCTGCTCCGGGGTCATGGACCAGTCTGCTAAGAATCACTGGGGCAGCTGTTCAAATGCAGATTGTTGGACACCCAGACTTACTGAATTAGAATTGTGAGAAAAGAAGGGAGGAGTTGATCTGGAATCTACTTTAACACATATCTGAGCTTACTCTTAAAAATTTTAATATCTATATTTATTAATATTATCCTGAATGCAAATATGAGGCTTTTGGAATAGAATAGGTTATTACATACTTACATAAAATTATTGCACTGGTTCCCCATACCATAATTTTCTCTCTCCATAACGAGAACCAGATGTCCTAAACTTGGTCTACACTGTAGGTGAGAAATGTAAAAAATATGAATCTGTACGGTTATAAAGGAGAGGGCCAGCTGTCCCTGCCTTGCCCTGAGAGAAGGAGAGAAATCCTATCTCCTCAATGTAAACAAATTCAACTTGGGAAGGATCTTGGGTTCTCTCAGCCTTTGGAAAGAAATATAAGTCCTGGGGGAGATAAAACAAGTTATCTCTAGCTTTACAAGCTTGGGAATGTCTCCATAGAGAGGTCTCAGCCCCCTCTCCCCATCCACACTCCTTAAAAATGGAACTACACATTGGGGAGTTGGCTCTCTCTGTCTTCCCATAATTTAACTTCTGAGGTTTATCTTTTAGCTCAGGCCCTACATTCCATTAAAAATGCTGAGAAAGCTCTAAAATAAAAATATTTTCTCAGTAGCCTCACACTCTTATAAGTTGGCATATCTGAAATAAACTGGACCTGATGATTTACTTTTCTCCTTTGGTTATAAATTTCTGAATCAATCAAAGTGATGTGGGAAATTCTTTAGGTGTTACATCCACAACTTAAATAAAGCATTGTAGTGCTTTGATACATGAATACTGTTTTAAGTTATAAAGAGGCCATTATCAATGCCAGCTAAACTATCTTCCTATTCCCAAGTGGACTGCCTTTGTAATAACCTTTTTAGAACAACCACTATCACTTTTTTTTTTGCAAGAAATAAGATTATTGGTACCTAATTTTTGTCATTCTAATTACTTATTTGTAAAGGACTTTTGGTAGTTCAAATCCTGGCCAGGCAACATTTCAAACAAAATCTGAAGACCACATCTAAATGCTGCCATAAAATTCTCGCTGCCAGGAAAATATCCAAGACTGATAATTCCAGGTGCACTTGGACATCCAGCGCTGAAGGCAGGCCTGCAGGCCACAGTGGGGGTGAGATAAAGGAGGTGAGGGAAGCTCAGCCTTGGTGATATCCAGAGGCTTTCTTGGACAATGAAGATAATGGAAGGCAAGAGGAAAAGTCACACAGAAAGCAATGCAAGCCCACTTCTAAAGAGATGGCCACGTCCTCACAGCTGTAAACCACCGGTTCTGAGGTATTCTGAAGAATATTTTCCAATTCTCCAGGAGGTCTGGCTGTGCCCCGCTGAGGCTATATCCTGCCCCCCTCATTTATTTGTGTATCCTCGATTCTAAAACTCCCTCCATACACTGATGTAACCTCTGTGTGTTTGCCAGTATCCACAAAGAGTTGAACAGGCATGCTTCCATTTGCTTGGACCTTGAGTAGAGAATGTTCATTTAAAAAAGCAAACTCTCCACTACTTTAAACTCATAGACCTATCAGCTTTCCAGACATGCTTTCTAAAATAAATGCCAATTTCCTTCCGGATAAATCGAACTATTGAGTCTACAAAAGGAGCACAGGAGTTTTGGTAACAATTATTCTATTATTGATCACTTACAGCCTGTTTCACTTGGTGGAGAAATGTATTAAGAATAAGATAAAATTCTTCCTTCCCTCCTTTCCTTCCCTTCCTCCTTTCTTTCTTAACATTTTTTACCCTCAGGGCAGGTTATGGGCTAAGTACTAACTCTATATTCATCCTTCATAATCCCCATGAAAAATCAAGATCAGTGGATATGAATTCTTAATGGATCTGAAAAGAATTTCTAGGTATGTGCTCTGTACTTCCTTCACAGCTTGTACACTAATGGCTCACTGTCATTGAATCGAATCATAGCTATATTTCTGATTATTTTATTGTTAGGAACTGGAATGCTAAAATGTCATTTGGGGGTGGGCGATGAGGTGGGGAAGTAAGTTTCCTGGCATTTAAAAGGTTTATAGTTTACAGCTCTATAGAACAATTAACTCATTTATATACATCTTGGAACCAGATTATCCTGAGGCTAGGACCCCAAAAATAAATTGCTAAGGTAAACACTCCATGGTGATTTTGGGGGGTTGGTTTTAACTTTGAATACAAGGTAAATCAGGGCACATACCTAGGTTGTAGGTATAATCCCTGGCCAGGGTGCTTATGGGAGGCAACTGAACCATGCTTGCTTCCTTCTCTCTCTCTCTCTCCCTCTCTCTCTCTCTCTCTCTCTCTCTTCCCCCCCTTCCTTTCTCTCTAAAAAAAAAAAAATCAATAAAAACATAGCCGTGGATGAGGATTAAAGAATTTTTCTCTAGCACCCACATGAAAAATTTTTTTTAAGATAAAATTATTTTATAATGTTATTTAACCCAAAATATTCAAAGTATTATTTCAACATCTAATTAGTATAAAATTATTAAGAAGATATTTAACATTCTTTTTTCTTATACTAAGTCTTTGAAATCTAGCATGCATTTTCTCTGATAACACATTTCAATACAGACTAGCCACATTTCAAGTGCTCAATGGCCACATCTGACCAGAGGCTACCATATTGGGTAATGCAGATGGAGATGGATGGGAGGTTGGGGACCAGGTTCTTCTAGTCCACCTCACTTATTTTTTGTAGGAAACCAAGGTCTAAGGAATTCAGAGACTTACCTATGGCAGAGTCAGGATGAATACTTAGGTGAATACTTGAATACTCAGTGGTGTGTTTTTTTCCATTGTTCACACTTCAGGTAAATGAAGACTCACTTCCCCAGAGAAGTGCCCTCTCCCTTCCCTGTCATTTTCCCATGTGCCACTCTCTAACCTAGTCCTGAGATACATAGATCTGCTCACAGGGCTTTCCATTCAGGGACTAAATTTAGAGGTTCTCCCACCAGCTCCAAAGGTTGGCAACCACTGCTTTAGGGGAAGAGGAAGCTCTGACAACTAAATGTTTCCTGCTTTTTTCTCTGCTATGTTACCTGTTTAAATCAGAATGTTCACTGAGCACATATTTGAAAAGGATAAAACCAAACCATATTTCTTTGTAGGGTTTGTCTGTTTATTTACTACTAGAGGCCCGATGCATGAAATTCGTGCACTCAGGGAGGTGTCCCTCAGCCTGGCCTGCGCCCTCTCACAGTCTGGGAGCCCTTGGGGGGTGTCCGACTGACAGCTTAGGCCCACAGGGAGCAGGCCTAAGCCGGCAGTTGGACATCATTAGTGCTGCCGTGGAGGTGGGAGAGGCTCCCGCCAGTGCCACTGCACTCACCAGCCGTGTTCCCCCTGTGGGAGTGCACTGACCACCAGGGGGCAGCTCCTGCATTGAGCGTCTGCCCCCTGGTGGTTAGTGCGTGTCATAGCAACCGGTCAGTTTACATGTTAGCCTTTTATTATATAGGCTTATTTTAACCTCATCTATTTGTTTCATGTGGGCCATGTGTTTGAATCATTAAGTTTCCACAAGAAATACAATAAAGTGAATTTTTTACTCTTGGGGAAGGAAAAAACTAAAACCAAGACCAAATTGGTTTTAGCAAGTATCTTGACTTTTTAATGTCTAACAGCCTCAGATTATAACTTAGATAATGTCTAATGGCCTCAGAATGACCTTATGAGAACTGGAAGAAACACCCAGGAGATAAGATTACAAACTCAATCCATGAGTTAGACTGCTCTTTCTGAGAAAGCCTCACTGGGTGATACATTTATTCCCAGTTCCCCGCAGCTGCTGTGCGATCTTGTGGCTAATGGTCCTCATCACCCACCTACCTCCAGGGACCTGGGAAACCAGCCCAGCTCAGCTGCACTAAACTCCCACCTGGCAGTAATTGTCCTTTCTGGAGTATGTTTTGTAAGGTTCCGGACCCATTATCAATCTACATAGAAGAACAAAGGCTGTCATTGGATTTGATTAGTGTTAACCAAATTACTGTGATAGCTCAAAAAATTACCTTTTTGAAATAGAAAAGGTCTCTCTCCTTCCCTATTCTACTATTTCCATTACATGAATTCCTTTCAGTTGTCAGAATTCTACTATAATTACAAATAATTTGAAAATGATGATCCTAATTTAAAGCTATTCTATAGCGTTGGTACACGTAGAACCACCTGTGACGACTAAAGCAGAGACACCAGAGCTAGTGTTTTAAAGCTGGAGAGCTGGCCAGGAAGCCAAGGGGGAAGTCTGGCTGGTTCAAAAGCTGATGAGGCAGTGTGCACATGACAATCTGCCATCAGCCACCCAAGGTTTTGCCTGCCCTAGAGTAAGGTGAGCACTCACCAACAGAATCCAGATGTGCTTGCTTTTCATCTGGAATTTATACAAAGTGGTAATGCTCTGGCTACCGCCTTCACATTCAGTAGAACCTTTACACGCCTGCTGAATGCCTGTGGTTCTGCCCCTTTTAGCCTCAAAAGTGAGAGGGAGTTACTGCCTCAGAGGCCCAGAGAAGAAAGGGAGAAACTCAGAGGTGTCTGAGCTTCTCTCCCATTCTGTATCTGGGTTTCTCTCTCTTAAACAGTTTCATTACTTGTTTCTTTTATTTCCTCTAAGCATATTTGATAGTTTTCTATTCTTAACTTTAAGGCACAAAGTAGACTTTTATATTTCTCACTCCAAAATCACACAAAGTTAAATCTCTTTTGAGTTGCATTATGGTCTTATTTTAACTGAGATTGTTGTCCTCAATACACACAAAACTTTCTACCCTTTCTCCATTTTACAGCATAAAGGAAAACCAACTAACAAAAATAATTAATTTGGCACTCTCTCTTGTCATCCCCCTCCCAATTCTTCTGTAATCCCAGGGAGAAGGTACAACTTCTCACCACATGGTATACCAGTAAAAAGAAAAAGAAAACAAGGAAACAGCAGAGGACAACCTATGAAATGGGTAAGTGGTCCCCAAATGATTTTACAGTGCTTTATTCTTAGCATATTGCCTGTATCTTTCTTACTCTATGCTTTTGAAATGATTACCAAATTTCATAAGGAAATATAAGTCAGTCAGAGAAAGACAAATACGATATGATTTCACTTATATGTGGAATCTAAGGAGCACAATAAAAGAACAAACACAATAGAAACAGACTCATAGACACAGAACAGAATGACAGGTGTCAGACTTGTGGGGCTGGGTGAAAAAGGTGAAGGGATTGAGAAGTACAAATTGGTAGTTACAGAATAGCCATGGGGATGAACGTACAGGTTAGGGAACATAGTCGATATTGTAATAACTAAGTATGGTGCCAGGTGGGCACTTGAAATATCGAGGGGACCACTCTGAAAGTATCTGATTGTCTAACCACTATGCTGTAATACCAGAAACTAATATAAAATAATATTGAATATAAACTGCGATTTTTAAAAAACCAACCATTAGATGCGTAAGTACTTGAAGATGACAGGAAGTATTGGAAAGACATCTAGACAGGAGACACAAGCCCCAGCTAATTGACATCAATTGCCTATTGCAGTGATGGCGAACCTTTTGAGCTCGGCGTGTCAGCATTTTGAAAAACCCTAACTTAACTCTGGTGCCATGTTGCATATAGAAATTTTTTGATATTTGCAACCATAGTAAAACAAAGATTTATATTTTTGATATTTATTTTATATATTTAAATGCCATTTAACAAAGAAAAATCAACCAAAAAAATGAGTTCGCGTGTCACCTCTGACACGCATGTCATAGGTTCGCCATCACTGGAGTAGACCAAGCGTGCCATTAGCAAGAATACAGCCTGGTGTTGAATTAAAAGGTTTCTGAGGTAGATGCTCCTTGTCTGTGCTTCTTAGATTGTCAGTATCTCACCAACGTGTGACTACCCAATGAGGTAACACCTCCCAGGTCACTGAGAGGAAGCTTCCATCCACTTGACTCTTTGGAACCCAAGTTCTTATAATGTCCCCTCCCTCTGTCACTGAGAATTCTCAGGGGATGCATGCATGCTCCACAGAACCTGCTGGTATTGCTTGCTTCCTCGGCCATTTGCATAGGTATCACATTTACTGTTTGCTCTGCCATGAGAGGGACCACCTCTACACCTGGTCCCTGTTTTGATATTTGCAACCATAGTAAAACAAAGATTTATATTTTTGATATTTATTTTATATATTTAAATGCCATTTAACAAAGAAAAATCAACCAAAAAAATGAGTTCGCGTGTCATAGGTTCGCCATCACTGGCCTATTGCATAGTCCTGGGGTAATCAATTCAATTATATAGAGGTGAAGCCTTCATCAGTAAAGTATGGTGTTATTATCAGCCCTCCAGATCTATTGTAAGGACCAAATGATAAATGTAAAACTTCTCTGTAACTTGCAAACAATAATAATAGCAGCAAATTGTTATCTTTATTATTATTTTTTTAATACCTTCTATGTGCCAGATAGCATTTTAAATGTTTTCATCTGGAATTTATACAGATGAATAAATTCTTAACACTTACACTAATGTTATAAGGTAGATACTGTTATTTCCCTCATTCACACATGGGAAAATGGAGACACATAGGCTAAATAACTTGTCCAAGATTTAAAAGGTGAGAGCTCTGACTCAAACCCGGGCAGTCAAACTTCAGAGCTCTATGCTTTACTATCTCTCTCTACAAAGCGGAGTTTAAATGAAGTTATCTCAGAAGAAAACTGGGAAAACTTGAAAACATGCTGCATAAAGCCCACTTCTCTAAAGGAAAGTCTTTAAGGAGCAGTATGCATAGTTGACAGGGGCTACCAATGAATAGCTGAGTCCAGCAGGAGACGGTCATCATTCTTACATGCCTGGGGATTGAACAGTCTTGAGAGCCAATAGGTACTTAATATCACATAGGCATCATTATGCTGTGCTTAGATAAGTATTTGGTGAAACTGTTCATGAGATCAAAATTCTGCAATTAAGGCAATGGCTCTCCCAGGGCCCAGTGTAGGCTTTAATTGGAGTAAGACATATAAATTGTGAAATTTTTCTTTCATCTCACTATAGGTATATTGAAGACACTGACAACTGATTTTGGTGAACAAGGGAAGGGGGCCAGGGAGTTTAGTTACAGAGATGAATCTGTGTCCTCAATCACTCACCCGTACCTGCTACTTGGAGAAAACCTACTGGCTTCTTTTTCTTTTTCTTTCCATTTCTTTCCCTTGTTGGAGTTCCTTCGCAACGGTGCCCTATAAAGGCAGACACATTCAGAAAGGGAAAGCTGACATGTTCTCCTTTAATCCTTCTTTTACAGAGGGCTTGCTTTTCACATCATGAAGTGCTTACCCCAGATCCACAAACTTCCGCTTAATTTTCCCTCCTTGCACCACCAATGAACTGGACGCCCTTAGTGATTTGGGACCTTTGGCACCATCTAGAATATATACATATGTAAAGAAAGACTAGTTATTATTATTTTTAAAGCTATGAGTCAAAAGTAAGAGCATCTCTTTAAGAGATCTGACTCATTTTCTAACTGTAAAAGAAAATAATGGATGCCTTTTAAAAAAAGTTATAAGAAACCTAGCTATGCTGAGGAACATTCAGTAAAGCTAGAAGATGTCCTGATGGATCAAGGCCCGATACTCATCACAAAGAGCTTTAGCTTCAAAAATATTGAAATGAACAAAATAAGGAGGCATCAGCACTATCAAGTCACCTTTTACATTAACAGCAGGGACCAACATAACTTTCCTTTTGTTCCAGCCCTCTTATCTCTCAGGTCAGCACAGAAAGCCACCCCTGAGAGTCAGAGAGATTTAGGGAGAAAGTGATGGGCAGAGCTTTCCCTTCCGGTCTAATGGCCTGTGGCCAGTCCTGGGACAGAGGAAGGCAGAACATGGGGAAGGCTTTCTTGAGCAGGGACTCAGCTCTAGGACACTGATATCTTTGAAAGGTGTCTCTTTGAAGTTGGGTTGGAGCATAACTTGGTTGGCCTCCTGTGATGGCGAAGATGCCAAATGCTCCTCAGTGTCTGGAGCTGAATGACCTTTGCCCTTGAGTTAAGCTGGCACTCCGAATGGTAGCAGCTGCTGGGGATGGGCACCCTCGAAATAATGCCAAAAGCCAACCAGTGGAGAGACTCTGAGAATGGAGTTAGATTCTACTGGTGCAACTTATTCCATTTTGGACAAGGTGGAAAACTCCTAAGGCTCTACCTGGAACCATTTAGCAAAGGATGCTGTTTGGTATTATCTTTCAGCATATCCAGTTATCTGCGATGATTAGCAAAGGGTGTTTTAATATTGATGCATATTAGAGTGTGAAACTACTCCTCCCTAATTATTGCTGTCTATCTCTATCTCTTTAAAATTACATAATTTCCAGCAACTTCCTGGCATGGAGTGCAGAGAGAATAGTCCTGTCTTCCTAAGAAAGTGTTCAATTAACCATGCAGGTTTATTTTGTTTATTTCAGGAGAAATTTCTTAACATGCATCCTTACAAAACACACAGTTCTCATTTAGGAGTCTATGTTCAAAGCTCTAAAGAAGCACAGGATATTAACAAACACTCTAAGTGTTCTTCTCAATGAGCTTTCCATATTCTTAGTGACACTCAGATTACAATTAATTCCTTGAAATGTACCTAATAAAATACAAGAGTCAGAAATATATCCACATCCAAACCCACTTCTAATCTAAAATATTATGAGTATTTACATTGTTACTCTTTAGGTAACTGAATTAATCAGCCACAGATGTGACACAGACACATAAAGAAAATCCATGGACATGGCACAGATACCTTCTGAGGTGATTTTGCTAATGGACGTTAAAAAAAAAAAAAGCAGGATTTCAATTCTCTTAAGAGAAGCCAGAGAAAAGAAAGTGTTGGATCCTTCCAGGTCAATCTTAAAGTAACTCTTAATGGCTAGGACTGTGCAAAGTTAAAAAGGAGACTGCCTATTATTTTCTGAATTAGAGGTAGCTGAGATGGTGAGAGGACCAGATGAGACAATGTACTTGGATGCACTCTGTGACCTATTAGAGTTGCAGTTATTGGACCTCTTGGGACTAAAAGCCCGATTGTACCCATCACAGAGCCTGCTGCTAGGCAACCTCACATCATTATCTCACACATTTGCCAAAGTGTGTTCCAAGGAACACTTATGTGAATGCCTTCAAAAGACTGAAGAGGCAAGATTAAGTAACAATGCACTTTCCCATTTTAAATCAATCAAGTACCTTTTAATGGACATCAGAACTTCTAGTCTACATAAAAACCAACATTGGATTGTTATATTTCAGGGGAAAAATAGAAATGTGACATTTTTTGTCTGTTTATGTAGCTTTATGTAAAATTCTATTAGGCTTTTTGAAATCTCTCCAATACTACCTTCATGAGCAATTAGAAGCCTGCTGACCTGGTCCTCATTTCCAAAGGCACTGAAAGAACTCCTGACAGCTAAATACTAAGGCTTTGATGGACTTCATTCTCCTCCATCTCAGGGCAAAAGACTCTTGATTACCTCCAAGGCCTGGCTCCTCTCCTGAGTGTACAACCTCCTCTATTATAAAATGAGTTGATCATCTTTCCCCCATAATATTTCTGATTTCCTATTTCCTATTAAAGACAAGACCATATTTTCTGAGGCTAGAAACCTGTGATCAGTTTTGACCTCCTCACTTCATTCCCCCTATATAAGCGGTTCTCAACCTGTGGGTCGCGACCCCTTTGGGAGTCGAACGACCTTTTCACAGGGGTCGCTTAAGACCATGGAAAAACACATATATAATTACATATTGTTTTTGTGATTAATCACTATGCTTTAATTATGTTCAATTTGTAACAATGAAAATACATCCTGCATATCAGATATTTACATTACGATTCATAACAGTAGCAAAATTAGTTATGAAGTAGCAATGAAAATAATTTTATGGTTGGGGGTCACCACAACATGAGGAACTGTATTAAAGGGTCGCAACATTAGGAAGGTTGAGAACCACTGCCCTATATTTAATCAACGTCTGTGTCAAAGGTTCTTGCATCTTCACTGCTCCTCCTTAGAGGAGATCCCCTCAGAGTCTCTCCTAACTCATCTTTCCCATACCTAGTGTATTTTCATTCTTATTCCTCTGCTCAAGCATCTTATGGTTTCCCAGTAAGGCAAGGTTCCTAAGGTGTTTAAATTCTACAATTGTAGACTCAACCTACTGTGCAATTATATGTGCAACCACTCTTAACACACATAAACAAACTACTTCAGGCAGCCTGGGGCAGCCCCATTCCTTTAAATTCAGCTTACTTGTGCCTGTCTCTGGCAATGCCATCTCTCCCTGCTTGACCTGCCTTCCTTACCTACCTTTTCTGCTTTTTCAGTGGTTACTCTAACTGTATGTTTTTTTAACGTCCTATTTGCCAACCTCAGCTGGATATAATCTTGTCCTCTTCTGAGCAATGATACAATTTTATATATATGTATATATATATATATGTATATATATATACCTGAAAATATATCTACTTGCCAGGACATTAATTCAACAAATATTTCTGAAGGCATGTCCTGTGTCAGGCAATATGCTAATAGTTACATGTAAAATTAGAATAGTAATCTCTAGATATCACCAGTAGAAAACTGAGAGTGTTTTAATTTACTCTACTTAACCTTGTCTGAATAAAGGTCCATTGCTATATAAGTCTAGAGACCAGCAGTTCAGTATTATGTTACTCAAAGAATAGGCATGAGGACAATATATTCATGCCTCCTATTATCATATAACTTGTTTTAGAAATCTCTAGAAATAGTCTTTTACTTTCTCTAATTTTAACTCAAATGGGGTTAAACGTTTACCATTTAGCCAGTTACAATGGGACTTTTTTTTATCTTAGTTTCCCCTAAGATCCCACAAACATGACAACAAAATGATGACTTGTGAATGCAGTATTGACTTGAGTTAGAAATCCTTCACTTCAATTAGGTGTTCAATCACACCAGCGAATTATCCTTAGGATAGCAATCCAATATAGCTATAACTTAATCATTAACTTTATAGTAAACTGACAGGCCAAAAGCAGTGGTATATTACTGTTCTAAAAATCTAGATAAAGGGTAAACAATGACTAAGACACTTTCAGAGTTTATCTGACAATGTTCAGTGGAAGGAAATATATGTCTAGACCAGGGGTCAGCAAGCTTTCTCTGCAAAAAAATTTAGGTTTGTGGGCTCTTGTCTCTGTGACAACTACTCAACTCTGCTCTTGTGCATGAAAGCAGAGAGCACCAAACTGAGTGTGGTACCCAGAAGACTTGATAAGGGCAGGTGGAGGCTGGATTTGGTGTGATGACCTCTGTTCTAGAAGACCTGCATTGGTTTTCTGCAGACACATACTTAACTCATCCAAGACACTTAGTATGCATCAATTATACGCCTTACTTTTTTGGGGACTAAGAATACAAAGATGAACATGATGAATGAGAAAACTTTGGCTCATACTTGACAACTAGATCACTTATCATACACAAAGGCATAGAAGCAGAAGTAACTGAAAATTTCTATGGGATCATAGAGGAGAGAATAATTCCCTCTGTCTGGGAATGGAAAGGGAGCCATGAAAGGAGGTGAGATTTAAGCTGGGCTCTGAATAAGGACTAGAAATTTCTTAGAATGGTAGGTAAGAATGTAAACGTGAAGTCTAGTTTGTACTTGTGAGTACTGCTAAACCCCATTCTAGTTCATTTAGTGATGAGCCAAAGACTTGTAAGAACCACGTATATAAACACACAGAGGGAAATCAAGTTAACCATATTTCTCCTCTATGCTGCCTAGGTCTGCATAGTGAATTAGTCTCATAGAGCAAGGAGCTCCAGGATTTTACACAGTGCTATTCTCCAAATTGGGTTTTGAGAACAACAAAGCTAGATCCTACTCTGTGAATCTATATTGTATTGGAGCTTGAAATGTCACAAAATTGGAAGCACGGAATTTCCCTAATGTTTTAATGATACTGAGGTCCATCTTGGGAACTAGGTAGGGAGAGTCCCTGAGGGACATGAAAGAGCTATAGGATTGCAGTGAAACGAGCATTCATCAATCAGCCAGTCTAATGAGAATATTCCGTACACACGTCCAGGTAACTTTAATTTTTTGCTCATTCTGATTTATGAATCTAACAACCAGGAGAGTACAAAACACATGAATGATGTTGGTTATTATATCAGTTGTACCTCCCAAAGTAAATAAAACAATTAGTAGTCTGGTTCTTTCTAAGTTGAACAGTATGAATCAGTCCCTCTGAACTTGATTAAATCTCGGTGCATTATTGAGTTTCCAGACTTAGAACACTAAGGCCTAGAGTCTTGGCTCTCAAAACACTGACTTGATGAGAGTTTTTGAAGGTTTTCATCCTTGTGGAAGCAGGCCAAATTACAGTGCAAGTCCTTCAACAACTTGACAACCACTTTTGATGAATTAGTGGGCTGGACATATTTTATTTCGCCTCCACTAGCATTTTGTCCTCCCTAAGTATTTAATTTTTATCTCAAAACTTCTAGAAGAGCTGTGCTTAGGACCAGTCTACGGAAGATAATTCCAGCAACTGATAAACTCAGGAAGGGAAACCAGGAGAAATATCAGAGTAAAGCTATGGTGCTTACCAATGGTTACAAAACAGTGTGAGCTCCCACAATCAATTGTATTTCTATGTTCACCACGTATTTGTAGAAAGATTACAATTTTGGATCTGGTACAGACAAATGAGTATAGACTTTTTAGAAATGCAGTGATTTGCAATCATAACTGCAATGTAGGAGTGTGTCTCACATCACTGCTGGCACTGGTTGGTGGGACTCTTGAAAGGTTTTGGCAATTTGATGGGTATCTAATTTAAATGACAATTTCTCCATCATCTTTTTACATTTTATACATAATGAAGATTTTCTCTTCAATGAATGGACAGTTTATTTTCTTAGCATATTTTTGGCTTTAAGAAAATTACTTGAAGCTATTTGTATATTGAAATCTATTGATTAACTTCGTATATGTGGTCCTTTTAATGTTTGTTATCTACTGAAATCAAGACTATTTATATGATAGTTGCAGAGTTTAAAGAAAAAACAATAAAACAAACCTCCATTTCATTTGTCATCCCACTTCCACTGCAGTTTATACATATGAAGTTCCGTATGTACTTCCCTATTTCTACTCCCTGACATTCTCCCCATGTAACTAGCTTTGTCATACCCATTAACTTCAATATTGTGTTTGTATCTCTAAGTAATCTGCTAGTTTTGTTTAACTCTATATCAAGAATCATATATTAGTCTGTATTTACCTGTAATTTGCCTTTCAATGTCTTTTTCTAGAGATTCACCCTGTTGTAATGTTTCAGTGTGGTTTGTTCATTTTCCCTCCTGCACAGTTCATTATAGGGATATACTACAACTCATTTATCTTTTCTACTGGTGATTATTCTAGTGATTACCAGTTTTTGGTTGTTCCCAGGTTTTACTATTACATAACAGGACTGCTATGGATATTCCTGTACATGATTCTTAGTAGACAAGTGCAGGATTTTTTTTTGATATATAAACAGGTGAAGATTTGCTGGGTAGGCACATTTTCAAATTTACTAGGTAATGCCAAATGGTTTCTAAAGAGCTTGTACCAATTTACACTTCCACCAGCAAATATCTGATTTATGGTTGTCTCACATATTCACCAGCATTTGGTAATATCAGATTATAATATTTTTGGCAATCTGGTAGGTATAAAATAGTATCTCATTTGGTGTATTTCATACTTCCCTGATTACTAGTGGGGTTGAACAGCTTTTTGTAAATATTATGGGCATTTGATTTTCATTTTCTATGAAGTGCCTGTTCAGGACATTACACATTTTTCTCCTGGATTATTTTTCTTTTTTTTTTTTTAGGGCTTTATAGGAGTTATTTACACAATCTGGACACTAATCCTTTGTAAATTACATGGGCAGTAAATATCTTCTCTCAAGTTTTAGGGATTCTTTATTGTGTCTTTTGAGAAATAGGACTTTCTAGTTTTACTTTACCCATCTTTTCATTATGGTGTATGCTTTTTGCATCTTGTTTAAGAAAACCTTCTCTATCCTGAAGTCACAAAATGTTCTCCTATATACTTTTTAAAGTTTTATAGTTTTGTATTATCTAATTAAGTATTGAATCCTCCTTGAATGAAACTTCTACATGGTATATGTATATTATAATTTTTAAAAATATGGATAACCAAATTTCCTAGAACAATTTATTAAAAACGATTCTTTCTCTACCCATCTACACATGCAACTGTCATAAAATGTATGTGTATATGAAACCTGCTTCTAAGCTCTTTATTTTGTTTGTTTATTTCGATACCTCTGTATAAACAAAATGCAGAATTAAATAATTCCAGGTATCAGGTAAGCAAGGCCCTCCACTTCAGTCTTCTTCAAGAGTTTCAGGTACTTTTGGCTTCTTTTTCTTTCTATAAATTTAGAATCAGCCTGTCAAGTTCCACAAAATGTCTGTTGTACTGAATCTCCAGATAAGTATGGAGAGAAATGAGATTTCTTTTTTGCTATTCAATTTTTTTAAATGACAAAAGAATTTTACAGTGAACAAACATATATCCACCCCCTAGTTTCTATAACTTCCATTTTGCTACATTTTCTTTATCATAGAAAATGATAAAGAAAAGCAATATTATTAGCTGTGAGAAGACAAAGGACTTAGGATTATGAGGGGTTACCACCCCTCTACTCATCTATTAATCCATTCATTTTTTTAATCCATTAATTTTTAATTGCATTTCAAAGTAAGTTGAAGACACTTCACCCTTATACTTATCAAGGTATCAATTTTTACATATTTGTTTTATATCATTTTTTTCAGATGTGAAAGATAATACAGTCGACTCTTGAACAACATGGGTTTGAACTGCATGGGTCTTCCTATACACAGATTTTTTTCAATAAATATACAGTCAGCCCTCTGTATCTTGGTTTTTGGCATCTGTGGATTCAACCAACCATGAATTAAAAACAGTATTTTTGATCTGCAGTTGGGAATCTATGGATATGGAAGGCCAACTGTATGCCTTATTCTATACCATTTTATATGAGATTTGAACATTCACAACTTAGAGTATCTGTGGGGAATCCTGGAACCAATTTTCATGGATAGCAAGGGACAAATGTAGTTAAGTTTTGGGGAAGTCAAAAGTTATATGTGGATTTTCAACTGTGTGAGGGTCAGCGCTCCTAGTCCCACATCGTTCAAGGGTTACTATATAACCCAATATACTTGGTTACTTCAGAGGAACATGTCAGATGTGGTAGGAAGAGCATGAACCTATTCTTTTTTTATCTACGCATCATTTAACTTATTTACACAAGAATTCATTACTTCTATAAATTAAAACACACTATTAAAAAGACAAAAGTGTACTGACACTACTTTGAAATTCTGGTGTTAATTCTAGAAGCCTCTTATAAAAATTAATTCACTAATCTCCCTGCATTACCTTTATCAGAGCTTTCTACCACATTTGCAATATAAATCATTATTGTGAAATTTTCTTCTAAATAAAAACCAAACTAATAGGTTAATACCTATATCACTTTCATTTTTATATATATGTATATATACATATATACATATATATATATATTTTTTTTCTATATGACTATGTTAGTGTTTATTGAAACTCGGCTGCTATTCCACAAAATCTCTAGAAGGCCTCCTGAATAACATCCTTCATTAGTAAACTTGTGGAGAGTTGAAGAAATAAAAATACTAACTAGTAGAAAAAGATAAACATAAATAAATGGAGGAGGAATGTTCTCTTATCCCATAAAAAAAGCAATATTATTAGCTGTGAGAAGTCAAAGGACTTAGGATTATGAGAAAAAAAGTTATTTTTATATTACAGAAATCAGGTGTTAATTAGACAAAATGAAAGAAAAAAATTGACAGTACCTTTTTCTTGTGCTATTTTCCTGGTGGTGGCTTGATGATGGCAAGGAGATTCTTCCATATCATGATCAGATTTTGAAGGAGAGGAGAGTGAAGTGTCTCCCCAAGTAGAGGAGGAAGGCTCCCTTTCTGGGTGCAGGGGTCCTTGAGATTCAGTTATCTGGTCAGACTTGGAGAAGGGCACACTGACAGCCTCGGAAGTGAGGGATGGAGCACCAGAATCTGATTCTGGAGAAGAAGTTCGCAAACCCTTGGGCAGAAGTGATTTGGTAATATGCATGTGGTTACAGAAACTGTTTGAAGGCTGTCGATATAAGAGATTATAAAGGAGGTTATGCCACTGAGCATCGGCTCCATGTAATACTTACTTTGAAATCAGATCGACCTTATTATTAGTGAATCCCCATGAAAACCAATTTTGTTTGTTGGTTTACAAATGAGACTCCATAGTTCACAACAACTCACCATATTACCATTGTAACTAACACGGACACCTAAGACATATAGGAACAATTATTTGTACATTCATTATTTCCTACTAGGTAGAACCAACTGCTTAATATCAAAAACACCATCATGAAATATGACCATGTGGATAATGCTCTTGGTTAGTTCACTGAATGAGTATAGAAAGAATTTGAATTACAACAATGTACTGAGTTGAATAAGAATTTTGGAGACAAAAAAATGTGAACTATTCCAGCTATTTCAAATGAGGCCATAGAATCTGGTTGCAGAAAAATCAATAAATTGTAGGAACGAGGATAGAGCCCAACACTGTAATCAGGAAACGGTCAAGGGCGCTCACCTTTCGCTCTAGGCTGTCCTCCCCGTCTGTTGAACTGACACTATCATAAAGCCTTGTCCTAGAGGGCCTCTGGCGTCGGTTCTTCACGGATAGCTGGGCTCGGGTTTTCAGGGCTTTCGAATCCAGGCGCTCTGTCTCTGGGACTGCTTCATTCAAGTCTAAGAAAAGACCATTGCAAAATAATCAGGGAGAGAAACCTTTGGAGAGGATTGATAAAGAGACCACAGACACTGATAACAAAATCTTAGGGTTATCAGTAACACCAGGCAGGAAACCATGATGGCCTGAATAATATCCCACAGGTAACAAAAAATATATATTTAAAAAAAGGGAGATCTAGAAGTGTACAAGCCTTAGGGAGAAAAACCAACACTAAAGGTGACCAAGGCAACAACAAAAATCTAACATCCAAAGAGCATAAAACCTTCCTAAAACATAATTATAAGAAGCACTGATTTGCATTTACTTATTTATGTGTATGCATGCTGGAGTGTTTGATGAACAATATATAAGGGGGAAGGTCTATGAAAGTTGGGAGATCTTAGAAACTAAGGACAAAAACCTAAGCAGGTCAGGTGTCAGGTCAAGTACAGGTAATAAAAGATGAGCATCGGTGTAAATTTTCTTTAGCAAAATTTACTATTAGGCTTTTATCTTTTTCCTTTTACCTTTTCAGAGTGGCAGTCATTAAATGAAATCATGCTGTTCAAGAAATTAATAATTAAGTACTTCTGGGTTTAAATTATTAAAATAAAGCAAATAATGGAGTTGCAAAACCTAAGTACTGATATTAATAGAATAAAACAATTTCTTACAGTAGCAGTACCCCAGGAAATTCCTTATCACAGTAAAGATAAAGGTGTACTCTGAATATATTATATTACAAAACCAAAACAAGTAAGCACCTCAGGTTGTACCTCTCTTATGTATGGAAGTTAGCAATTGGCATATGATTCTAACAAACATATTTTTCCCTAGGAGATACATCTATTGAATGACAATATTTAAAGAAGATTTTGACTTTTCATTTCCCATATTTGAAAGAAAAGTGAATATACAGAAAAGTCAGACCATTCAGTTCTATATAAAGGACAGCTAAATATGTTATAATTAGTCGTCTCTTTGTTTTTACTTGTCAATGGAGGAAAGAAATCTCCTTTATTACTTTCATTTCCTCCTTCCAATAAAATCTAAACTTGCAGCTGCCCATTAAGAGTTCATCAATTTTGATAAATGGGGGACAATCAACCTTACAAGCTCTTGTTTACATATAAAACATGGAAACACCAAATAGATGAAAGCAATAATATAACCAGATATACTGTCATACATGTTTATCTGTTTCATATTTGGATTTTATGTTCTTTGACACGAAGTCCTGTCACATACACCATCTCATGTGTCCCCACAACAGCTCCAAGAGACAAAGCAGCCAAGTATGTTTTCCCTCCCCTGAGCTCAGAGAACTTGAGTAACTTGCGGTCATCTACATAGCTAGCTGATGAGCTGCCATGACCATTCTAGCTTTTGGAATCCCAGGCTACTACTCTCCAATTTAGTTAGTGTTGAACAAGATACAGAATAAGATTTTAATGGCATTAGAGTCTAGTATTTTCCATTGAAAAATCACATTTGGTGTGACTGGAAATTCACTTCTGGGAAATTAACTTGTCCAACAGGCTATGTAAGAAACATTACCATTAACCTTTCATATAGGTGTTAAGAGAGCATTAAAAAGGGAAGACATTGAAAACTATAGGAAAAATGATTTCTCAGACGATTTCTTGTTTGGTTGGTTTAGTAACAGCTTTGGCTACTTGGTGACAAAAAGACCTAAGGAGGAAGGTCATTCTATTTTTGTAAATATGGCTCCTCTTGCAATAGAATCCTGGCCCCAGTGGACCCAGCATAGCACTCAACTCCATCACTAGGTACTGAACAACAGAGTGAGGGAACAGGAGAACTACTTATTAGCAGGGTTTAGACCAGCGGTTCTCAACCTGTGGGTCGCAACCCCTTTGGCGGTCGAACGACCCTTTCACAGGGGTCGCCTAAGACCATCCTGCATATCAGATATTTACATTACGATTCATAACAGTAGCAACATTACAGTTATGAAGTAGCAACGAAAATAATTTTATGGTTGGGTCACAACATGAGGAACTGTATTTAAAGGGCCAGAAGGTTGAGAACCACTGGTTTAGACTATAGATAATTTATTCTGGGACTTCTGACTCCATTACTATTCAGTAATTTGCCAGGTCCTGGTGTCAGTCAATCGCCAAATGGCAATCTGGTGCATCTGCTTTAGTATCAGCTAGCACTGACTCGGTTCAACCCACTGGAGGTCACACATGGAACTACAGCTTTTAAAGATGAAGTCAGCTGGAATCTGAAAAGCAGTGCCTTAAATCCATGATCCAAGTGGCCAAAAGCATGGTACCCAATAAACAATTTTTGAGTGTCTGAAAACAAAGAACTCGAGGCCACTCTATAGTAGTGATTCATGGATTACAAATCAGTCATTTATGTTCCAATTGATTAAAAAAAAAGTTTTAAAGTACAAAAACTGTAAAAATGGAATGTAGCTGATAACATTTACTTCAACAGCTCTTATACCAGAAAGAACTTGGAAGGAATGTTGCCCAGGAGACATCACAAGTAACCACCCTCACCCTTCTTAGGAGTATTAGAGGAGATGAGAGAAATAGTAGGAAATGTGTATAGGATTTATGCTTCTGGGTACTGGAAGTGATCTGTCCGACCACTATAAGCTATCTTTTCTAGCATGTCATATAAGAATCAGAATATTATAATTCAAAAGAACCGTAAAGATTCTAGCCCACCCGTCTTTCTCAGGAAAACTAAGGCTCAAAGGTTAGTAACTTCTCTACTAACTGTAACGCACAGTTAGTCTGTAGAAGAGACTGCATAGAGTTCAGTTTCAGAAGCTTATCCTCCGAGAAGGTCTCTCTCAAGTCTGAAAGTAAACTTCACAGGTAATCTGCCTTCTTCAAGTCCTCTTTTTAGTCTTACTTTATGTTTCAAACAAAAATACATGTCCAGGGCTAACTTTGCAAATTCCCAGAAGTATATAGTGCCAGAAGAAAAAAAAAAAGTAGGGATTTCATTTGGCTTTATCTTTATCCAAGAAATAAAATTCTTAAAGAAAAAAACAACAACTATCTGTCAAAATTTTGTGGATGGTGATGTGGCAGGAGCAATCTGACTGGCTTAATGATTTAAGTGTGTGCTACTAAATGTAAGGGCTCCGGTGGCCATGCTCACTCACGGCCATCCATTCTCTACAGAGATCGTAATCAATAGCACAACATTGCTCTGAGAAAGCCAAGGCTCGGTTCCTCCTCTGCCGCTTCTCTCCAGGGCACCTTGCTCTGTTGTCCCTAAAAATTAGAGGGAATTTTTATTTTCCTTTCCCCTTTCTTCTCTATTCTTTCTTTCAGACCCTCCAGTCTCTAAAATAGCCTTTTTCAGACTCAAATTCAACTAAAATACAAAAGAAGAGCAGACTCGAGTGAATCAATACACATAGAGAGACAGATACAGAAAAGATATGAAGTAGCTGGTGATAGAGCAGTTTTGAGTGGGTTGGACTCCGCTTCAAAATACCTGCATCTTAAGAATAGTCTTCTTATTGCTTTGAATTGGATCCTCCAGAGTAATTTAATGCATTTGAATATGATTTTAGCAACTGTTATGAAAAATGTTCTGTGAAATTAGGATGCTATATATCATATTTCACAGAGATCTGCTCCCTAAAGTAACGCTCTGAGTCATTCAGTTTTTTTTCACCAGATTGACGTTATTTTTGACGTAAATGGAATGCTGCCCACGGATCAGACACAGACGGCGGTGGGGAAGTAGGGGAATGGAGCAGCATGACAATAGGGTCTGCTCCGCATTCTTATGTGCATTATTCTCCTCAAAAACAGTCAGACCTTAGACCATCACGCTGCCTGGCTTGTGCTATTATCAACAGAAATGCTGAGCATAATGAGACACCTGGTGACATTTTAAAACTTGAACGCTATCTGCAAATTCATAAAAGATGGGCCCATGGGGCTTTGGGTTCATACACACAGCATTCAGAGGCAGGCTTATGTATTGCACGGGGGCAGTGCAAAACAGTTACCTAGGGAGTAGCCCTGGAGTTAGTCTTCCTTGCATAGAACCCGGAACAGTGGCTCTGCCACTCAATTGAGTAATAGAACTAAACTGTCTGTCCTTCAGAATCCTCAATTGCAAAACTGGCATGATAATAACATATCACAATAATACTTGCATTTTATGAGGACTAAAGGCATACAAAGATATATAAATGCTTAGAAGAATGACTGGTACATAATAATCACTCCGTAAATGTCTTTATTTACTGACAATGAAAAGGTTAGCAAGATATTCTTAAGTGACTAAAGCAAGTTGCAGACAAGAGTCTTTATGGCTTATACAAAGACAGATGTAAAACTTGCACAAAACTTGACAGGCACTCCAGGTGGTTTGTTTTTTGAGTGAGAGGACAGAATTTGGCTTTAATGGTTTGCCAGAAAACAATCAGTAAATATTGATTTCTCATTCATTTGGTTTGTTCATTAAAATTTTCCATAGTGATTTACTGGGAGTGTTCACCCATCAATTAGTACAATTCAGTAATATCTCATGGCCAAAATTATTTATCTGGAATTTAGAGCTATTGAAAATAATTTGTTCTGGAAAAAAAATGAAAATTGTGCAAGTTTACTGAGAACTTATATCTGAATTCAGAATAAAGTGAGTTTGGATCTACTCCAGAATTCTCCTCTACCCCAATTTAGAACTAAACAATAGGACGACATGGAATAATCACCTCATTGCTCTGTATCTAGTGCTGTTTGTTGTATAAGACACTCCTGATATTATAGTGCAAGCGTCCTCCCTTTCCTTTTAATGACTTTGCCTTTAATGCAGCCTGGCTTTAATCATGCCTTGAACTTTATTTTAAAATGCTGGGTTCCAATGCTAAAAATGACTCTATCAGGAAATAAATCAGATGCAGTGGTAGGGGTCTGGCCGGCCTCATAGCCACAGGTATCTGAAAAGAACCACTGACACCACGGGCTCAGGGAAAGGCAAAAGGACAAGGGCCTGGTTCTGGTCTCAG